ATGCACATATGTCTAGTGTGTGTTTTACGTTGATGTCTGTGCGCGCCCTCCTCCGTGCATTTGTCCATGTTCTGTATAAATGTTGTATGTCGCGTCTGTGTGTGTCTGTGTCTGTGGTTGTGCGTGTGCGTCTCTGTGTGTGTGTGTCAGGTGTCTATAGCAGAGTGCATGTGCAGTCTCGCCATTTTACAGACCCAGTTGACCCAGTTGAATGCAGCAGACAGACACAAGCAGAGTCAGACGGCCCCTGGGGTGGTCCTGTCTGAGGTGCAGTGTTTGGGGCCCGCAACACTGCGGGGCCCAAACACAGACATGGCCATGTACAGTGTAACTGTATACACCTATATGCACTTTGACAAAAATGCGTCTGTGACCCTGGAATGTAAAAAATAACTATGACTTGATTATTATTATTATTATTATTATTATTATTATTATTATTATATGATACTTATCAATATAATTATTAAAGTAATGATACATTTCTTGATTAATAATTATTAGGGTTTAAATGGTTGGTCCTCATTTGCGCTTAAAAATCTCTAAAAAAATATTTTTTAAATTAATAATAATTAAATCATTACTTGTGATTACTTAGAGACATGTAGAAAATGCAAACTCCGCAAAAAGAATGGTTAAAGTTTTGTCGATAAAACATTAACCTTTATTTTTATTTTTTTATTTTTATTTTAACTTTGTGTTCATTGTCTAAAATAAAATACTATGTAGTGTTGTAATCTCTGCTGACTTCAGAGTTAAACATAATTAAGGACTTTAAATGTACAGTTGCTCTTATTGTTGTTGTTGTTGTTTTAGGATCACTTCCCACTTGAAGCGACCAGGAAATGTTTAAAAATGAAAAAAATAGGCACGAACGCCTCACAGTAGACACAAGATAAATTCCCTGGCAAGCTTTCAGAACGCTTATGTGAGAACACATAAACAGGCAGACGGCCTCAGAGATGCAGGAACATGCAGTAAACACACTTGCATGCACGCACACCCAAATATGAGCACACAAACATTCACAAGTGCGCGCGCACACACACACACACCCCAACTACACAAGTGCCACCATGTAACCCCTAATCACAACCCCAGAGCTTGGACATCAAATGAAGCAAGTTTGAAAAAAAAAATCATCAGGAGTAATTAACGCATTTTCATATGCAAATGTGATTAATGCAAAACTACAAAGTCATTATGCAAATTGACTTTTCCTTGAGCCTCTGTACAAATATTCATAGCTCAAATCAGGGATCAGTCTCGCCATCTTCCTTTTTTTATCTCTACCCCTCTGCCTCTATCTCTCCCTCTCTCTTGGAGTAGAGATAATGCGTAAGTAGCATGTGAAGTTATTTCTAACTCACGCGGTGTGTGTGTGTGTTTTCATGTGATGGACCGGGGCTATGGCATTACGCCGCCTGCCTACTGATTACTGGCTGCTTGGCACTGGAGCGAGACAGGGAATCCAGCGTACAGGGGAAGGTATGAATATGCAAAAGCCTGATTGCTTTTCATGATTAAAGCCTATTTAATATGGAAATGAGAGCAAGCCAGGTGATTAAAGGAGCAATGGGTGGTGGGGCAAAAAAGATGCAGGAGGAAACAGATAGAGGGAGAAGAAGACATAAGGAAGACACCTTCAAATCCAAACCAGAGAGGTGTGGAAACTGGGATGTCACAGTTAGTTACAGCAGCACTGAAGCATGTGTCACTCATTGCAGCTGTAACTTCTGCAGACACAAAGGTCATTGTTACTTTCGAAACGTTAGACGTGGAGTTATCACAGAGAAGGTGACACAAATCCCTTCCTGCACACTGCCCCACCCCAAAAAAAAAAAAAGATTTTAACAGATGCAAACTTTAACACCTTTTCACAACAACACTTCAATGTGTGTTGTTTAAAAAAAAGAAGTCTTTTAACTACGGTCTCAAGTATGTGTCAGATGAAGCATGTGAGTTGTAACCCACGTTGCAAAAAAACAATGGGCCGGTAGAAAACCTTCAGACGACTGAGTGTGCTGCCCACAAACATGACAACAAAGAGATGCGAGGTGGACGGAGAGAAAAGCAGAGGAAGATGTTTGAGGATGTCACTGTCGTTCTCATCATCTCATGAAATATTTAGTGGGATATCTTTGCACACAATGTTTGTGTGTGAGAAAGAAAAAAAAAAAAAAGACAGACAGACAGTGAGAAGGAGACGTTGTCAAGATGTGACTTCGTCCTTATGTACTTCGTGTCGTAAAGTGCTCCGAGGGGGCCCGGCAGCCGTCCTGGGAGGAGTTCAAAGCAGGGCCAGGGTCGTCTTCGCATGATAACGCTCCCCAAGTGACAACCCCTTTACTTCCCTGGTGACACACATCATTCTTCACAGACATCACACGCACATCCAGTACACACACACACATACACGCACACACTCATACACAAATTCATACAAAGTGCACACACATATTAAAATAGTCCACACATACACATGCAGAGTGCATGCATCAGCAGGAGAAATTCAGGAAAAAAAAAAAGACGAGGAGCAGAGGGGCCATTTTTCATCTTTGCCATGTGTACGAAAGTCTGTCTGTGTGTGTGTGTGTGTGTGTGTGTGTTTGCACCTTTTGGGGTTGAATCTGCAAGCCTTGCAGCATGTTTGCATTTTAAGGAAGCAGGATGACAGACAAAGAGGCCAGACAGGATGTCACAAAGTACAATCAGTTTGAAAAAAATAAATAAATAAATGCATAAAAATATTTGACGAGGAGGTAAGGGTTAAAGGTCAAGCGTCCAACGCAAAGGTTTCACAGACACAAGAAAGGCGAGGCATGCCTGGACATCTGTCTTTTTGTCTATTCATTTGACACACATTATAATTTTTAATGTGTCTTCCGTGCAATCTGCAGTTCCCCCCCCACCACTACCCTGAAGGAGTGTGTATGTATGTGTGCGTAGCGGTGTGTGTCAGATAGTGTGTGCTTCTAACACGCTGGACTTAATTAGACATAATAATGTAATTTGGTTGAAACTTGGGAGCACATGCTTTGAGTGGCAAACTAATGTGTTAAGCTAAGCTCACCTCTTTTTTTTTAATACAGGGCTGTGGGTGCTTTATATGTCCTGTGTGTGTGAGAGACACACACACACAAAGTGTGTGTGTGTGTCGGTTTGATGTGTGTCTGTCTTCTGTCTGTGCTTTTCTGCCTGCAAATTCAAGCTGTAAAAATCAACAACAAAAAAAGGAGATTGTGTGTAAAGATGTCTTTCGCGGATGTCAGAAAAAAAAATCCAAGGTGAAAAACTGAAGGTGTTTTTATCTTATTTTTTAACTCTTAATTAGCTGAGCACACTCTGAGCTCCTCAGAAAAAAGTGTTCCCCATGCAGAAGGTGGTGACCACACAAAACCGCTGGCCACATAATGAAAAACAAAACTACCAAAGTCTGTTGTGAAGACACAGGATGTCTAGACCAACTTTAAATTCTATAATCTAGAAAAAAGAAAAAAAGAAAAAGAAATGTAAAAGCAGTTAAATGAATGAATTACCTTTCCTTCAGATCAATAAAGAGGTCGTGGAAACGTGAAAAAGAAAAAAAATGGAAACAGTAAATAAAACAAATTAAAACAAATTTTGCTCCTGCTGTGAATCCGGTGAACCACATGTCGGTTGTCATGGCATCACTGCATTTACACCTTTTCTACTACACACACACACACACACACACACACACACACACACTACACTGATTTTACAAATCAACAATCAGTTATTTTTGAATGTGTGATGACTGTGATGCCAGGTTTTTTTTTTACCGCAAAAATTGTAATAATGTTCACAATAACAGTCTTCTCTTTAGGAAATATTAATCAAAGTTAAAAAAAAACCTGCAACGGTCAGTTTTTCAGTCAGATTATAGTTAACTAATTCAAGATGGTTACTAACAACTAGTCAAGTCTCCCTGACTCAACCAGACCTCCGTCTGCTGGTAATCCTGGAGAGCCGTCCTGGCTCTTGGTGCGATGGTGACTGTCTCCTCTGATAACTTTGAACTGGTTTCCCTGCAGCGTTGGCCCTCTACAGTCCCCCCCCCCTGCCCCCTGTCCCCGNGATGAACGGCCTTGCTACTTTATTAATCCTCTTCTCCTCACCACAAACACAGATGAATTTTAATCAGCTTTTTTAACCCCTTTTTTTTATGTGCTGGAGGATTTCTTTACAAACGCTCAGACACGTGACATGCACTCACGCAAGAGCCAAAAAAGGAGAGAAAATACACACACACACACACAGTCTCTCTCTCTCTCTCTCTCACACACACACACACACTGGGGGCGGCTCCTCTATCACCTTCTTCCTCGCATTTCAAAATTGGTTTCAGCTGAAGAAGTCCTTCAGGCCTGCCGGTGTGTGTTTGTTTGCCGTGTGTTACCCTGTGTATGTGTGTGTGTATGTGTGTGTGTGATGTTTTACTTAGAACCGAGCAGAATAGACACACTTTGCAGCTCTCACTCACTCTAATGAAATCATCCTAGGCTACATTAATCCCTCCTGAAGGCCACTGTCAAAATAACAAGCAGCTCGGATTCTTTAAAGAGTGCTATCTGTCTCAGACAGGTGATGTGTGCACGCATGTGTGTGTGTGTGTGTTTAGCACCGTGTGTTTTTAAGTCTATACGGACAAGAGCGCTCTCTTCAGACTGTGTGTTTACAGCTCAGCTGCTTATTGGTTCTTGTAATTGTTTCCTTCTACAGTGTGTTCTGCCTCCGTACCTCCTCTTTCCTGTTTGGGGCAGATTCCTTTAGCCGGCGTCAGCCTCCTCTCTTCATCTTCCTCTCCGCCCGGGGTCACCTGGATGCCCACCTCCACTGGAATGGACCCTCTACCCAGCTCCAATGACCTGACCAAAGGAGAATTGGGAATGCCAGTGATCCCATCTCTCTCCCCAGGCTTGGAGAAAGATCCCGGTCCGTTTCCAAGACCCCGGCACAGGCGCCTCTTGTGCTCAATGAAGACGAGGATATCACCCAGTGGGAAGTTGGTCTGGCACTGGCCGCAGGTCAGCAGATCATGCTCCCCGGGTCCTGACCTCCGAGGGCTAAGAGTGGATGGCTCTGGCGTCGGAGATCGTGCTCCTGAATCATGATTGGCCTCTGCTGCAAAACGGGAGGAGAAACAGAAAAAAAAAAAGATGTCAAGTATTGTCTCTAAAAAAAAAAAAAGTACAAGTACAAGAGAACAAAGTGACAGACAGCGAAGAAAATTCACAAGGAAGTTTGGTGACACAACGTGACTACCTGATAAAACCCGAGTCTGCGTAGAACGAGGAGAGATCATCGCGCCGAAAACTGTTTCACTTTCATGGCATAAAAACAAATCCACAGTAAACCTGCTTCACCTAGATCAACACCTGCACGGCTTATCCGTAAAAGATCTGCGTGGGTGGGACCGAGTTCGTATACTGTATTTATACCAGTGTGTGTTGTTGTGTGGCCAGGAAGCTATTCATCTCACCGTGCAGGCTGGGTTTCCGGTGAGGGCCTTTGCTGCACTGAGCTGTCATACCTAGACGGCTGCCTTCACCACGTGGAGCTTGTGCAGAACAAAGTGTAGCATAGTGGAGGCCACATCCACCAGAACCTGCATGTGAGTGTGCTCACGTTTGAGTGTATCACAGAAATAAATATATATATAAAAAAAAAATAAGACACAGGATGAAACTGTAAAATGCCTTAGTGTGTGTGTGTGTGTGTGTGTGTGGTGTGTGAATATATCAGCACACAGGTGAGTTCCACTACTGTATTCTCCACAGACAGAAAATCTATAAAGCCAAACCTGGGGTCCTGTTAAGAGAGTAAATCTCATTCTTCACAGATCTGACACGGTCATTAATAACCATTACACATTCTTCCCTCCCTGCTCCCCTATGGCTGACTGACTCCCTCAGCTTAACATAAATCCCTCATGGACGACCTCTCTTTTTTTTCTAACACTACCCTGATGTACCCGTATGAAAATGTGTCCTCTTCCAAACAGCCCTCGGGAAACCCGAAGCTCCAGAGACGAAGGGACCATCTGAGTGAGAGGTACCCAGGAGAGAGCCGCTGATGCCTGGGAGAAGAGCGTTGCAGCACCTGCCAGTCTCCGTGGCTGAACCCCCTTTGTGAATCTGCCGCTCCCCGTTTTAAAGGTGCGCCTCAGCTAGCTTTTCTTAAAATCATAACGCTCTAATCGTAATGTTTGCAAGTGTGTGTGTGTCTCATGATATGCAGTAACAGAGGAAAAAATCTCCACCTTAAAATGATTCAACTTGGGCAGATTCACTGTATTAATTTTTTAACAAATTTACTTTTCAAACATGTCTTCGTGGCGATGATTAATCCCTTGTGCGGCCTCGCTGCCTGCTCCATAGGTACCTCACACGCACACTGACATTCACGTCCATTTAATTCACCCCGAAGTGATGATCTGATGCCAAATAACTTTTCTCTAAATGGCGATGGGTTCTTGGAAGCCTGCCAGATAATTTCCATCTCATAATCTTAGGCGGCAGAAGAAGGAACACAAACACATATTTACCTACAGTTCACAGCTTGTGACCGTAAATCACATGGAGAAATGTTCCAGAGTGCAGCGACAAAGTGTGAAAGCGTGCATGCCTGCGTATGTGCGGTGCATATATGAACACAGCACACACCGAACTACTATAGAACTAGCATTATATCACTTGACTTCAGGGATATTACACTGGAGTAAGTAGCTATACGCTGTAGTGCTGGAAAGGAGTTTCTGACACAGGGCAGGATCCAATAGGCCGCCATCGTCACATGTTGCAAATATCAGAGAGACCAGCTTAAGCCAAAGAGCCAACAGACACTCGTACATTTTGATCTTGGCTTAGAAACGAGCAGAAAAGTAAAGTAGGGCCTGTTTGTTATCCTATGGATGAGTAACAATGCCTGAGGCCAGAAGGCAGTAAATAAGCAGGCGTTGGCACTGTCACCATGCCACTGGAATATCAGTCGGACAGCTTCTCAAAACCGCACCCCTCTCTGAAACCCGCTCACTCATCTGTCCCGAGGCTCACCTGTGTGGGAAAGAGACATGTGCAACGTGGAACTGTACATGGAATGCTTGCGGCAAGAGTATTCTTTTTTTTTTTTTTTTTTTTTTAAAGGCAACCGTTGGACACAAACACGGTGAGCTGGAGACACGCAGGTGAAAGCAAAACACTGTAATGTAGTTTATCATCATGACAGACGGCGTCTAATTCCTCTGTACTCGTCTATGTGAGAGTAACATGCTTGATAGGTAAGGGAGCAGAGCAGGCGTACTGTCAAACATGCCATCGCTGAGAGGGCGTGATGATGGCAATGAAACCCAGCTGTCTAACATGATACCAAACATATTTTCTATTTCTCTCCTTTTGTCACTCTTTCATTCTTTTTCTGTCTCTTCTGTCTTTCACACACACACACACACACACACACATACACTCACACATACACTCGCTGACATGCATGCAATGGTACATTCACCCTGTGACAGTCCTGCATCTCCACCTTATAAAGTGGGAGTAAAGTCAGGCAGCCTTAGAGCACCCCCTATCAGTTTGATGAGGAGAGAGTCACTTAGTCACTTGACTGCTGCAGCCCAGCCTGCTGCCGCTGCACACTGCCACTGCACAATATGTACCAGATGGGAGACTCAGCTCAAGACAATGGGCCTCTTTCACTAATTTTTCCATTTGTGTAAAAGGCTGAAAAATATTTCAATATATCTGTCCAAAATAAAAGTGCTTAATAACTCAACAATGTAGCCTACAGGTGAGAGGAATCGCCTGTTTTGCAGATATAGTTTTTGGGGGATTTTTTTTCCATTCATGGTATTTTTTTTTTTCTTTGCAGTGACTAAGCCATTGAGTATTTTTATCAACAAAATGCTAGTTAATTAATGTGGTGTCCTTGTCACTGTTTTTTTTTTTTTTTCACTTTAGTGGCCAGGCAGAACGAGCTGGGTCGGTAAAACTTGCCAAAATGAGTTTAATTGCAGTGACATGTCCTTAAACATTAATTGCTCAGAGATAAATCCCGCGTACACCTTTTCACTGACAATATCCTTATGTAGCCTTGTGTGTCACTGATGACTCTTTTTGTTGTTTCATTGTGCCTGCGGTGAAGGCAAAAGAAGAATATGTGACAGGGTTTGACAAGTCCTGCTCAACGCTAAGTGGAACAGGGTTAAAGAAAGGTATTGGCGTTCGGTTATTTATTCATTTGTTATGATACGATTCATCTTCATCCAAGTGGCCTTTAAGATAAACTGATCAACTTCTTTTTTTTTTTTTTCTCCCAAAGTTCTGACCTTACACAACATTTTAATACCTGCTGTACACTCTGTTCTGCCGGTGAAGACAGACAAAGGCCAGGGGCATCGATATGACAGTCAACTACAGCGAATGAGTTCAGACCTGTCTCTCCTTCTTTGTCTCCTCTTTCCATTTGCTGAGCTAAAAACACACATAGACACACAGCCGCACATGTGTAAGGCCCACAGGGAAAGATTCACACTGTCACTGAAAATAAATGACACCAGCAATGTTGCAGATGGTTGCAATCAAAAATTCAAACAAGCGGCCTGGCTTAGCCTATCCCTTTTTCTCGGCAGCGATTGCCAAGGAAAGCTGCAACAGTGTGCATTGTGTAAGGCCAAGCTTGTGTGTTTCATTATCTTATCACCATTTAATCTATAGCAGTCCCAGTTTCGTATCGTAAATCTTAGATTATCGGCCTGAAAGTGAGCAAAATACGGCTCTGCAGCTGACTGTGACTTTGTCACTAAATCGCTATAAATGACTTGTAAGCTATGAAGCGTGACATTCATTGGTGTAAATCAAATTTGCAAATGATTTTTTTAGAGATATAATAATAGTACAAAGGCACTTGAGAGCGTCGCAAAATTGATTAAATGTGTTCGATAATGTTGAAATATTGAAGGAAAATCGGAGAGCAGACTGCCATGCTTCGCCGTAAATCATAAATTTGTTCAGCAGTCATCTCCTGTGAGATTATCATCCGCTCACCACAATGTGTGTGTGAATATTTACTGTGGCGTAGCTCAGCGTACGGTGGGGTTTTCTCTCGAATTTGACAACCATATGGTGCGAATAAAGAAGAAAACATTAACTGTTTCACAAGTAGCATGCCAGTTCAGAGCGTAAACAGTTATCACAAGGCGTTTCCATCATGGAATCCAGAAAACGTAAAAGAAAATAAAAAAATGCTGATATCAAATTTGTTAAAAAAAAAAAGATAACTAAGAGAAATATTCATTCTAGAACAGGCAAAACCTGCTCTCGTTGATCCATGGTAATGTGTGAGTAATATAGCACATGGATCATTCTGTAATTTTTTTTTTCTTCTTCTTTTTTTATATCATGAATGTGACACCAAGCTGAGTCACGCACTGGAAGAACGTCAAAAAGCAGAGGAGAGATGTTTGCCTTTTTCCCTGCAACAGTCTTGAGTTAACAAAGGATGAACTGTAAACTAACCTAGAACAAACAGCTTATTACTGTTCCGCTAGTGTTTGAACCTGACGTGGGGACATGCATCTTCAGGGTGATGTTTGTGAAGTTTTACACTTTGTCTGTGTTGTCAGTGTTGCTTTTCCTTGGGGCATACTTGAGCATTGCGTACATTCATGGCAGTTGCAGCCATGTACGCCTCTCTCTTGATGTCTGACCTGGCAAGTAGACTTTCAGAACATAGTCTTCCACTAAAGCCTGTCCAGAAATATGCTGAAATTCAGGTTCTCTGTGCTCCCAAGTAGAGCATGACCTATAGGCCCGAGGTTGCTACGTTTAGTTACACCAAATAACCCCTGATGTGTCATGTCGATGATATCCGTGTAAGTGCACCAGCAGAAACTGCTGTTAGTTACTCGTAAAAAAAAAAAAAAAAAAAAGAAGATGCCTATTAATGGCAGCTGATAGGTAAACAACAGTCAGGCCACAGTTGACTCTGTGATCAACGCCTGATAAAAAATGACATATTTGTTTTTTAATCACTTTCTGGATTGTTCTGTTTCTTTTTTTGTTCATTCAGAGTGCTCCTATAAGCCTATATGTTGACTCAATCAAATTACAGTTTGGTTTTCCCCATGCGCTGCTCAGATCCTCCAGCCTGAGGTGTGTTCCTGGTCCTCTCCACACCCACCCTGCTTAAGGAAACAACCCAAAGCGACAGGCACCCTCCAGATGAAAGGGACATTAAAAGTTTCACTGCTGGAGATGTGGCGTCATTATTAAGATATTCTTTACATATGGCAAACAGCTTTTAATACTCTGTGCAAATGTTTGCAGGTAAACACTCACACACACACACACACACACACACACTGCTCTCCCAGTGGTGGAACGCTGGAAGCAAACACTAATGCAATTGTAATGCTTTTCACATGCCATTTCAAAGTTTGAGTTTGGACGTTGCATGTGACCGCCTCGCAGGTTTTACAGACAGAGAGCAAACATCTCTTAGTACTGTTGTTAATCTTGTACTTGAGCATCTGCTGGCCAGTGTCCCTGCATGCATGAGGCCACTGTTGTATCATGTGAAAGAACAGGTAGGATGAGATTCAGCTGGACCACATGACCCAGCTAAAACTGCATGTGCTCTAATTGCCACTTGACTGCAACATCGCCTGTTGTTACGGTGAAAGCTGATCACTGTCAGCAAACAGACCTCTGACTTTCTGTTGCTTGACACTTTCAAGTGTGGTGATTAAAAATGGATCGTTAAACGCAGTGGCGAAAAGCTCAAGGCAGGTTTAACAGGAGCTGCGAGGCGTTTTGAACTTCGCGGCAAACAGGTGAATTAATAGAAAACGCTAGCATTTAAATGGCATTGTCATGCAGCAGCTCTGTGCTGAGTCGTTTCTGAGAACGAGCAGTAGATCAAATGTGAGGTTCTGTTGTTGCACGTCAAACAAAGTGACCCATGCATGACTCCAAGGAGTGTTGCTGAATATTTAATTGTCAAAATTTGCAACACAAACTCTGTGAAAAAGAAGTGACATGCAACACATTCGAAACTGTTTGTCCCAATGCATGCAGGGAGATGTTCAACGCACACGTCCGCCTGAGGTGAAGTCGGTGAGGCATTTTTTATTTTCTTCTGCAAACTCGCAAAACGCCTTGCGTGACAATCCCCGTCGTCTGCAGCCTAATGAAGAGGCGGCGGGTTAAACACAAGAGTGTGATCAATAGTAACGATAACTGTCATCCGCCCCAAAACCTGCTGAAGATGCACCGCAGAAAACAGCCTTCACCTCAGACGCACATTTATGACTGAGAGGGAAATAATCGAAACGGGATTAACGGTTATTGTTCTAAATAGTGGGGGAATGCTGTCTGACCCTTTTCAACACAGAGCTTCTGTCCGAAGATTACATCACGAACTTCTGCAATGAATTACTCAGATTAGGCGTCTATGAAATTGGATTTGGGCAAAGCAGAGCGCAGGGAGATGAAGGGTTAGATTGATATAATTGATAAGAAATTGGATTATCCGACGTTTTAATCACAAAGTCCCTCCCTCTCCTCCCAAAAAAAAGAACATTTCTGCCACTGATTTTATCTAGGCAAATTAATCACGTAGCTCTGAAATCACCAGATAATCTGTGATGCACTGTTTTAAAAATATCACATTTATCCAAAAAAAATATTTAATTGTTCTTTTGTATTGTGTTGCCTTATTCAGCTGCACCGCAGGATGAGTTCATTTATGTCAAGTTTGATGACTGGTACACACAGCTAAAAGTATAGTGGAGGCCTTAATTGGAGGGGAATAATTCCAGTGTGTGTGTGTGTGTGTTTGTGTGTGTGTGTGTGTGTCACAATTAGAAAATAATGACAAATATTTTTTTTTAAAAGATAGTGGTGACTCGTGACTTTTTGCCCTGTGTCAAATCAAAATTACTTGAATTATTTTTTTTTTACTTTTTTAAAATAGGTGGTAATTATTAATAAACACGAATATAAACAGAGCAACGTGTTGTGCCATGTGTGTGTGGAAAATTAAAAAGGATGTCTGGATGAAAACGATTTGCAAACTAACACACGCACAACGCCACTGTGTCCACACATTTAAACAGTTACAATCACACACCCAGGACATGTCACAGAGACCCAGAGTGTCTGTCATCAGACCGTCTTTGTGGTGAAGTCAAGTCAAGTCAAGTGTCTGCAAAGGCAACCGTGATGGAATACTGCTACTAAATAATTAAAACAAAGTAGTGACACTTGAAATGGTAAAAAAAAAAGTAAAATCTTTTTTTACTTTTTTTTTTAAAAGAAAGTGTGTAAAATAAGTCATTTATGATTGGTGTTTATAAGGTGATGAATTTGTTTTTTATCAAAATGAATTCCATGTCCTGGGTTTCTTTCTCTCCTTCTTTCTTTTGTGCATTTACAAAATTATAACAAAATGCATGGACACGTTTTGCAATAAATTGCGTTCTTAAAAAATAGAATTAAGACTTATTTACAAAATGTGACCAAATCCCCCAATGAACATGAAAAGAGAAATGACTTAAACTCACCTTGTATTGTCTCCCTGTGCGTCAACGATAAGTGCTGCGGGTTCACCTGCTTGCGGCGGGACATTGCCCCGGCATTTACTCTGGCATCGCCCGGTGAACTGCACTTGGAGTCGGCTTGTACCGTGGTGTCGGTCGTCTCTGGATCGCTGGAGACCAACTTTCCCCCTCCTTCCTTAATCCCTGCGCTAGTCACAGTCTTCAGCTGCAGCTTTTAGGACAGGAGGTGAAGGGGTCGGACACGAGCGCAACGAGGATGGAAGACCAGTGTGTCCACAGTGTCCGGCAGCGTCTTCTCCGGGGACGCAACACCTGGATTGAGGAAGCCAAAGTGCAGTTTAAGGAAGCAGTCGGTAATTATTGGCCGAAGAGCTGATATTTGCGCAGGTATGTTTATATTTTGTCTAATGGCCTGTTTTAGATAATTTAAAAAACCCACACACACACAAACAGAAATCCTTGAGTGCCCACCTCTGCTGCGGCCGTGGTGACAGGAGAAACACGGTGCGCTCCACCGGCGGTAGGACCTGGCTCTTATTTGTCTCCTTTTCTTATTTCTAATGATATGATTATATCATCAGCGGTCAGTGGTTGGTGTGTGTTCTGGAGTTCCCTAAAGTCCTTGGATCGCAGCAGCGGTGCGCGAAGATGACCCTTTGGCACTGACTCCTCCTGCGCGTTTTGGCATCGGTGCGCGGAGCGGCAACTCTTGGCTCTGGCGGCAGTAGCCTTGCTGATTGAGAGAGGGAGGCAGTGAAAGAGAAAGAGAGGGCGAGAGACAGAGAGAAAGGGGGAGAGAGAAAGCAGGCGGGCAGACAAGACACCTCCTCCTCCTTCTCGACCAACAAGAAGAGGTCCAATGTTTCCCAGTTCCCCACAGTGTTGAGGCTACTTCTTGTTGACTCCCACGATGAAAGAGGGAGGACCTCGTGTGTGTGTGCGAGCGTGCGCGCGCGCGTGTGTGCGGTAGATATTCAAGTTCAAGTGCACGTGAGGAACAGCAGCACACGTTTGTAAACACCTACACAAAGGTGCTCGTCCCTCACAGACGCGTCCTTACTCTTTGTCTTTCACGGACGTCCTCCTCACCTTAATGTTGAACACAGTTCTACTTATCAATCAAAACATTCCCATCAGGCTTTCATCACCTCACAACTTCTTCCCCTTTGAACAATGCCAGTAATCCAGTGATTTACATGCATCTCAGGAGGAAATTGTGTTGTTGTTGTTTTTTTTGTTTTTTTCATCTACAGCTACTGTTTATTAATAAATATTAATAGCGGGGCTGCGGTTTAATTCACACCGATAACCCTGCAGGGTTTGCGGACCTCTAAAGTGACCGGAGGACGCTGCTAAACACATCTAACACATTGATGCAAATCACACCATATGATCAGAGCGGAGACAGCATGCTGCATCTTTGTTGTTTAGATCATTTAAATATGTTGTGAGGCAACAGTACCCTCTGTTGGCACAGTCTGGAGACATTGCAAACCTGATGAGGAGGGTGACGTCTTGAGTATATAACAAGAGTTAAGGATGAAGCCTATTCAGACATCAAGGTAGTCCTTGAAAAGCAGATCAGGTTCACTCAGCGGCAATTAATGGAACTAATGGGCAATCATTCTGCACATAATTCACTGGAATCATTTAGATCACTGTATGCAGAGGTAACAGGCTGCAACTGAAGGTTCTCCTTTTTTTTTTTTTTTTTTGTCACTGAACACTCCTTCCCAACATGCCACCGTTTAGCTGAAATGCACTCTTAAAAAAAACTAAATTCTAATAAGGTCATTTAGAGTTGACACTATTTCCTTGTGGTTCAGGAGAAAAGTGTGCAGCTGTAGCAATGCATTGTACAGTCCGGCATTAATAAATCATGGTGGGCAATTTTAAGAGCATTAGAAGTTTGATTGCTTCGGGGCAGGCCTAGGGGACTTTCAGGACAGTAATTATTTATATAAATGAAATGTCATCTCAGTTCTGACTCAAGTAGACATAACCTCAGCAGACTCCACATGGAACCACTACAGTACAACAGCTATCTTTCACAGATAGGCCGCGCATGTTGTCAAGCATATTGCTTTGACTGGAGCGCATAAATTTGGTATGCGCTATTACATGAAATGTCTTCTGCTTTCTCTTCCTCACATCGGGCCAAGAGAGCAACGGCAGTGTTGGACACATTGGGTGCTGAAGAAAAAACATTATTCTGAGTTCACACACACACACACACACACTCTCTCTCTCTCTCTCTCTCTCTCTCTCTCTTGCCATCCCTTCTGGCTGCAAACGGCTCCTTGATCCTTACCCATGGGTTTCTCAATAATACATCAATGTCTCCATTATAGCTTGTTTCTGCTGGCTCTGGGCAAAAGCAGTTTAAGCTGGGTTGCGCGGGGGCAAACATAGCACAAATACCCTGCTTGTGGACACAGGAAAGGTTTTAAGTCCCAAGTGTTGCCTCTAAGGAGACATGCAACTCGTGTACTAAGTGCCAAGGTTGAATGCAAGATACCAGATCGCACTGCAGGGCATTGCCTACACTGTGCATGAGGACATGCCGAGTCTAATGCTTTGTCCAAGTTACAAGAGATATCGTGTTGGCATCTTAACTGTTTTCCCCAAAATGACCCAGGATTTAATGCGATTCCAAACACTTTATAATTTATGTTAAAACATAAAAATTTGCCGCGGGACGGGGGCTCAGCTCTTACATGCAAGTGGACAAAAGTACATGCAACTTAACTTGGTTTGATTCTGGGTCACAACCTCTGTCACATCATTTTATCTTTCATTTTTCATGTCCCTCTTCCAGCAGTTTATTCTCCGAGGAGAACAAAAATAACATTGGAATCTCAAAATAGGCCGACATGTATGTACAAAAAAGGGAGTACAATACAACTTTTAACAGTTAAAAGGGAATTTGGTGTACTCGGGGGTTAAGTGTACAAACTGATCAAGGCAGCAATATTTGATGTGTTTAACCATAGTGTGACAGGACTGACATAAACAATGAAAGGTCCACTCTAGGACGCCTCGTGGTAATGTGAATATTGCTCTGGGAATTGCTTATAGTTGGTGCTTCATTATGCAATGTTTAATATTAATAAAGAAAGTACAAGTATATATTATTCATAAGCTGATTTACTGTGGTGTGTGTGTGTGTGCGTGTGTGTGTGTGGACTTGAAAGACAGATTGAGATGCTCCCTTGCTATGGGCAATACAACTAGACAAGGAGCCTCTTACTTTTCCACATCCTGACAATTTCTGCCACTGTGAAAAAAAAAGGTTTTTCCAAGCCTGGATGAATGTGTAAAGGCAAACTTTAATTTGAAGGAGGCAAATGATCAACGATGACTGAGACAGGGAGGGGACAAACAAAGGCACAAGATGAAGTCGACACAAAAAAAATGAATATTTCATATGTAATGATGTCGGTGTTTTAGGATATACAGTTTTACCTTGATCATTCAGGTGCGAATACTAATGTTGAATTTGCTTTATTACAATTTTGTTAAATGATTTGAAGCATCTAAAAGACTCATTCAATGAAAAATAGAAAACCTTTATCTTGTCTTATGGTATTGTTTGTCTAAAGTGTTGACGTATTGATTGTCTAAATATTATTTTTTACTTTTTTGTCACTGCTTTTATTTGAATAATAATCCTGATGTGGTTACTGTCTTTTAGATTTGCTTGAAGGACGCTTTTTCATGAGTATAATAAGTTTGTGGTCTGTCATTATGGTAGCCATGTGGCACAATATTGGTCCTACATTATTTTCACAACCGCCCACAAATACATTGTATTTTAGTACAAAAGAAATTATATTTGCATTAACAACAAGAAGTTCTTCTATTCTTACAAAGACAGGAAATGATCAATTGTGTTTTGTTGATCTTGACTTAAGTGACGCTAAATGGACATAGAGTAAAATGAATACTGATTCATACTGGTGGACTACCAATCTATTGCAATAATGCAGGGAAATATGCATCATTGCAATATGATGCACAGTAATTGAGTGGTTCTGAAAAATTAAATAACAAATATGTCCGTAAATGCATTTATTTATGCAAATTAACAATTAAAAATGATCATCTTTAAAATTGAAAGCCGTGCTTCAAAAATGAAATCTTGCATTCCCACCTGTTCTACAGCAATTCGAAACGTTGTGCAAATAAATAAATAAATTCCATCTGTCTTTAAATTTTACACCGAAAGCAATCAGGACGATTGCAATGTGTTTGATAATTTCAGGGAGTCAAACGAATATTTCTTTGTGTAGTAAAACTAATATATATGTATATAGGCTATTATGTTGTGACTTTTTGTGTCAATTCCAAACCATTCAATAAGCCACGAGCTGTTTCTGCAAAGTACACCCAAAAATACGCAGCTAACGTTTACAGCGCACAAGTGATTATTTGTCTCCCTCTAGTGGATATATTTACTAAAAACATGTGAGCTCTCGTAAAATATAGTTAATATATAAGTTAATGGTATTTTCTTAAATATTCAGTTATTAGTAGAAAAAAAGTGGGAAAAGTGCAATAATTTCAAATATATATCTATTTTTGTTTTTTATTTTATTTTTACAACTACTGACGTCACTGCGCAATTACGTTGGTCAAGCGTCAGTGACGTGTTTTCATGATGGCGATGTCCTTGTTACAATGGGTGGCAGTGTCGGTTACTTGTTGACTACGTTATTGTGAATAAATGAGAGTTTCCATACAGCGGTGCGTTTCCTGTGATTTACCCCGACGGACACATGTTAAAGGTAAGACTCACCATTTATTTATAGTAAACTTTACTTTAATATTACACAGCTCACTGTATTCCGTGCGTCAACGGCTCAAGCAGAGCAAATTTGCTAACCCATGTTAGCGGCCGGTGAACTCGGAATTCTGCAAAATAATAAACTATAAGTATATTTTAACACGTCGTAATTACTACTTAATTTCTGTCTGTATTATTTGTTGAATAGTTTGATGAACAAAAATGCGTGCAGGTGTTTTTTTTTTCTTTCACGGAAGCTATCTTCAGCTACCGTTAGCACTTAGCGTGATGTTATTTTCAGTAACTGTCTTTCAACGACCTCATTAGGTTGCTACGTTTAATATTTTCACATGGCGTAAGTAGAACATTGTATGTACATTAGCCAAAACCAATAGTTAAGACGTGCGGTCCATATTTATATTAACTTAATGTAGGAGGTAAAATAAAAGTAATAGCCACTACATCACAAAAAACATCGTGCGGCTCTCTGCTTGAATTAAAACAAGCTTAAACTTTAACGGCTTAGGAATTTAAGAACATTTGAAGAACTATTTGAAGAACAATTGGCTGCCTTTATTTAACTGACAAGGAGACCACGGTTAAAGTTGTTTTTATTGACAAATTCCTTGTAAATGTAAAGAAAGATATTTTATAACAATTTTCTATCAAAGACACACCTATTATCTCTATCGGCAAAGAGATAAAGTTGTTTTGTTTTTTCCATATAAATCTGCAATATGTGTTTGTCTGGGCCATGTCTGGGAATACGGCTGTTTTTATGTTAATAATAACAAACCCACACAGCAGAAGTTCAAAAATGATAAATGGTGTCAGGGCGTTAAGGTTTATAGTAGAAAGTCAAACATGAATACACCCATTCCAACCTGCTGCTGACCTGACAGTTTGTAGAATATACAAAATTGTTAGAACAAAATCAAGAGTAACACAAACTGTCTTGTCTTCTACAGCAAAGTGCAGCTGGACCATCTTCTGTTGCTTCTCCTCAACAAATGAAGGACACTAAGGAGACCTCCTTGATGATGGGTCAGTCAGTTTTAGACCATATCAAGCCATGTTGGTACTGGGACAAGAAGGATTTGGCTCATACACCATCTCAGTCTGAGGGCCTAGACCCTGCTACAGAAGCTAGATATCGTCGGGAAGGAGCCCGCTTCATATTTGATGTGGGGACAAAGCTTGGCCTGTATCCTTGATTGGTTAATTGACTCATTGCAGATTAGATACTAATTGTGTGCCATTTTATTTGTGTGACTAAGAATAAAATAAGTTAAAAAAACAAACATTAAATGTCAGTCTAACTTGAGTCATCTCTTACAGGTACAATATACAGGAACGTATCTTAGAGAGTTAGCTAAAGTTGTTTTATGTAAATTCAAGTCCAAATCTTTTTCTAAAAACAAAGAAAAGAATTGTCTTTAAAGACTAGCATTTAAAATATAAAGGTGAGAAATTAATTTTAAAGCGTGCTCAAAGTCAGCAGGTACTCACAGTAGGATATTACAGTTATGTCTTCACGCTGAAAACAAAATAGTGTACACATAGATGGTTAAAACAGTTCACTGTTGACCTCGCTCACCTTATGTTATGCATATAAATGTGTATGTAAATGATCTACCTAAGATGGTTAAAACAGTTCACTGTTGACCTTATCTTATGCATATAAATGTGTATCTAAATGGTCTACCTAGTGTCCTTGACTGTACTCAGGCACTATGATACGCTGGCAACTGGTATCATATATTTCCACCGCTTCTACATGTTTCACTCCTTCAAGCAGTTCCCCAGATATGTAAGTTGATTTTCTTTACATAATTGCTCAATGGAGCTAAATGTAAAAGAGTTAACATATTGTTGTTTGTGTCTCCAAGGTGACCGGCGCTTGCTGTCTATTCCTGGCTGGAAAAGTGGAAGAGACGCCGAAGAAGTGTAAAGACATCATTAAAACTGCTCGCAGTTTATTGAATGATGTGCAATTCGCACAGTTTGGCGATGACCCTAAGGTAAAGTTGCTGCTTTTTTTTTTTTAGCATTATGTCCTTCACTGAGGAATTATTTATCACAAACAACATTAAAGAGACAGTTTATAAATCCCAAGGATCTATGAAGGCAAGTCAGACAAATATCATTTGTTTAATACAGTGTATAGCTACATACACAAAACTGTAATATATTGTCTCTTGATTTAACCATGTGGCTTAAGATCATATGTAAAAGCAGCATCATAAACAATTTCTTGTGTTGTGTTCTATAGGAAGAGGTGATGGTGCTAGAGAGAATTTTGCTGCAGACAATCAAATTTGACCTGCAGGTGGAGCACCCCTACATGTTCCTGCTGCGCTATGTCAAGCAGCTCAAAGGTGAGCCTGTTCTTGTATGTAATCTGATGGACACTCACATGCATGATTCTTTCTCAAACAATTACATTTTTTATTTCTGCTCATAAATGTAGGTGATAAAAGCAAGGTCTGCAAGGTGCTGCAAATGGCGTGGACGTTTGTCAACGACAGGTAAGCATCTGTCATGCAGTAGTGGTGTCACTTTTGTCTTGGTAATTATTTTTGTTTATAAATGTTTTGTTTGAAAATTAGTATTTGATTCTGAATTTCTATGAACATTTTTTTCTTTCCTCCCATTTTTATTTACTAATTTTCTCTGTCCTCTCCAGCCTGTGCACCATGCTCTCTCTACAGTGGGAACCGGAGATCATTGCAGTAGCTGTCATGTACTTGGCCGGACGCCTCTGTAAATTTGACATCCAGGAGTGGACCGCTAAGCAGTCATCACGTCGCTGGTGGGAACAGTTTGTCCAGGATGTTCCAGTTGAGCTGCTTGAAGGTGCTTCTCATGAAGCTGTTATTCATAATCATATATCATTTGTCCATACTTGTTTTTACAATTGTATTAACAGAATAATCTGTTTTTTTTCTTAGAAATTTGCCATCAGATCCTCGACCTTTACTCTCAGGGCAACAAGCCCATCCCTCAGCAAATGCAGGAGAAGGATCGACCTCCCATCCCTGCAATTCCGGCTCCTCCTATTCCACAGGGACCACCACCAGTGTCCAACCCTCCTCCCCCACCACCTAAAAAGACGTCTCCACAGAGTGGCAGCCCTGCACGTTCACTCAAACGACCACATGTATGCGCGCCAGAATTACACTTAGCATTGTTGGTTTCATTTCAGGAAGTCAGCATCCAATTTATTTTAGAGCATTTCTTCTCTATAAACATTAATTGTTAATTCTTTTGTGTGTATTTAACTACTTCAGTTCAATTTTAGTTGAAAGATAACTGATTTTATCTTATCTTTTCTTTTACAGTCACCCCCCAAAGATGAACCTAAACCTCCAGGTATTGTCTTACTTCTCAAGTTTGTAAAAATTTGCTCACTTTAGTTGTAGTTTCTACAAATATCTCCAAGAATGGGTTTTTGAGGAATTAGGTTTATACAATTTTAAAAATATATATTAATATATTAATATATATTTGCTTATTTTTCTTTGTTCCATTTTTCAGAACAACCTGGGTCGAAGATTCCTACCCTGGAGAGCCCCTTACCACCTCTGCCTACAACGCAGCCCCCCTCAGGTGACTTCTTATCTCTTACCTGCAGTTTAATATGCAGGAGAGATAGAATAATTTACATTTAGATTAAGTTAAAAGATTAAATCTGCATCCTCTCATGGTTCTGTTGTCTGTTTGCATGCATCAATAACTGGGCTAATAATGAGCAGTGAGCCCCCATGCCTGCTGAAGTGCACACTAAAATGCGCACAGTTAGGAATTTGTCTGGACATTTGCCAACGGCCACATTTTTATAACTGGTTATGATGGACGAGTGAACCTGATGTTAAAGCCTTCTGCTGTTACATTTATTAATAATAATACATTTATTTTGAGGTTAAAGTCTTTTCTTTTGTCGTTCGCTGTCACTTTAGCAGAGCGAAAAGCTCCAGTTCCAGCTCCTCCAGCAGAAGCAGAACCTGGAAGTGAAGCTGCTCCTCCACCACCCCATGCTCCACCACCACACCAACCGCCTCCCTTGCCGCACCGCCCTCCCCCTCCTCCACCCTCTAACTACATCATGTCCACCACCAGCTCCTACATGTCTGGTGAAGGCTATCAGAACCTACAGTCCATGATGAAGACTGAGGCTCCCACTTACGCCCCAATGCCTCCCAGCTATGCTCCACCGATTCCACCATACCATCCCCATGTCTACCCACCGCCTTCAGCACCACCTCCCGGGCCCCCTCCTCCTCCATCTACATACCCACCACCTAGCCTCCCTCCAACCTACCCACCTCCAGGTTACAACAGTTACCCTCCGCCACCTCCCCGCATGCCACCAGGCCATGTTCCTCCTCCAGGAATGGGCCTCCCACCTACAGGGTACCCTCCTCCACCTCCTGTCCCTCCAGGGCAGACACAGGTCCCCTTGCCTCCTCCACCTGGTATGCCCTTGAATCGTGGTGGTTGGATGAGATGAGATGAGCTGATCGTGCCACAAAAGACTCTGAAGTGAGGCTGTTGTGGAGAAGCGCCCTTTTGACAGAGAACAGCCCAGGATCTTTTGTTATTTTGGTACAAACGGTGACTACTTCCGTCTAAGGCTTTTGAAGAAAAAAAGCTCATCACCATTTCGACTTGGCAGAAAAAGATCCGTACAGTGTTGTAATGACAACACAGTCAGTGTTCAAAGTGTGCAGGAAAGTTCTGTAGTAACTCTTTGTACAAGACGTGTACTTGTGTGCTCAATAATGCATCATATTTGTTAGGGGAATGTGCTTGAAAATGGATTCACCGGGGATTTTTTTTTTGTTATGAAGTGTTTTCCTTCACTCATTAAAGAACTACAAGCAAACTTTTTTTTAAGTCAGTGGTCAAAACTCATAGACATTGTTTCAACATTTAGTCAACATCAATCCTGATATTTCGAAAACAAGACTTTCCTAACTCTGGTCCACATCACTGTTTTACATTAAGTTCTCCAGTCACCTTGGGTTTTGTCTGGGATCGTAGTGTCTAAGATCATGGTGGGCTTTCTATGTGAAAAAGCCTGCTACTGCGTACGATTGAAGGCAAACGTGTTGAATGGACACTATTCAAATGTTCTGTATAATGTTTTCTAATGCTTCATTCCACTCAATTATATTGGATCACTGAGATAATGTTGGCCAGACATTCTTACAAACACAGGATGTTTTTCAGTTGATAACACATTATTTTTCACACTGGAGTTACAGTTAAAGGAACTTGTGTTCATATCTGTCATTTAACTTGTGGACAGGTTTATGATTTTTACAGATTTTATATTATTTTTTTGTTCGTGTGTGCCTTAGTCAGGTCTTTGCTGTATTCTCCCTGTACAAGAATTTGTATGTATGTCCAGAACAAAACAATAAACTCTTTACAGCAAAATACATCACTATGTTGCCACAGGACTAATTGTGTTCTTAATTGTAACTTTTTATGTCTAATGTATGTTTAAAGGTACATCATTTCTAAAATGATACAAATGTTTTGAATAACCATTGATTCGGTACTTTATACATTCGGTATAATTTTAAGACTGTTAACTAGTGAATATTTTTAATATGAATAAGTGAATGAATTCAATGAATAAATGTTAATTGTTTTGTATAAATGCAGGTAGATCACAGAAAAATCCCCAAGACAGAGATGCAACTATGGGTTTAGAACATTTAGATAACATTCTAAAAAATACAGTGAAAAATCCCTGCTCGTATGTAATAAAACAAGTAGCCATATATTTTTGAACCATACAATCCTAGATCTACAACAACCAATAAGAAGAAATGTGGAATTTCCTAGTTTTTTTATAATGTCTAAATGTTTTGTGCCTTAATGCTTTGACAACACATTTATTTCTCCACCTCTCTTACAGTGAACCCGCAATTAAACACTGGTGTGTCTGTTAATATATTTTTATATTGTATGTATATTTTACCTGAAGATCAATCAGTTTAATAAAAAAAACATGTCAGAAACACAATATGTGGATCTCTGTCTTTTTGTGTATATATATATATTAATGTGGAAATTGCTTTTTTTCAACCGTCAATACAATCCAAACACCTGTAACATAAAACATAAACTTCACGTATCATTTTGAAGATTCATTTTGAACGAATCACTCGCGACCGAAACATCACTACTATTGCCATATTATTGACTTTTTTCAGACAATAGAATGTTAACGCACTATTGCTTATTAAAAATGGATTTTAAGTAAAATGGCTGCCAGGTTGATATAGTGTTCATGGGGGTTTTCCCGTGACTACATAATAGTCATGAGCCCTCCAGTGGCTCAAATATACAACCACACATAGAGCTTACAACCTTTTGAAAGGACCTTGTTTATATATGCAGTTGCACGTTTGAACCACCGGAGGGCGTAAACCTATTGCCTTAAATATTCAGCCACACATGGAGCAGACAACCCTTTGGAGGGAACTAGTTTATATATGCAGTTGCACGTTTGAGCCACCGGAGGGCGTAAACCTATTGCCTTAAATATTCAGCCACACATGGAGCAGACAACCCTTTGGAGGGAACTAGTTTATATATGCAGTTGCACGTTTGAGCCACCGGAGGGCGTAAACCTATTGCCTTAAATATTCAGCCACACATGGAGCAGACAACCCTTTGGAGGGAACTAGTTTATATATGCAGTTGCACGTTTGAGCCACCGGAGGGCGTAAACCTATTGCCTTAAATATTCAGCCACACATGGAGCAGACAACCCTTTGGAGGGAACTAGTTTATATATGCAGTTGCACGTTTGAGCCACCGGAGGGCGTAAACCTATTGCCTTAAATATTCAGCCACACATGGAGCAGACAACCCTTTGGAGGGAACTAGTTTATATATGCAGTTGCACGTTTGAGCCACCGGAGGGCGTAAACCTATTGCCTTAAATATTCAGCCACACATGGAGCAGACAACCCTTTGGAGGGAACTAGTTTATATATGCAGTTGCACGTTTGAGCCACCGGAGGGCGTAAACCTATTGCCTTAAATATTCAGCCACACATGGAGCAGACAACCCTTTGGAGGGAACTAGTTTATATATGCAGTTGCACGTTTGAGCCACCGGAGGGCGTAAACCTATTGCCTTAAATATTCAGCCACACATGGAGCAGACAACCCTTTGGAGGGAACTAGTTTATATATGCAGTTGCACGTTTGAGCCACCGGAGGGCGTAAACCTATTGCCTTAAATATTCAGCCACACATGGAGCAGACAACCCTTTGGAGGGAACTAGTTTATATATGCAGTTGCACGTTTGAGCCACCGGAGGGCGTAAACCTATTGCCTTAAATATTCAGCCACACATGGAGCAGACAACCCTTTGGAGGGAACTAGTTTATATATGCAGTTGCACGTTTGAGCCACCGGAGGGCGTAAACCTATTGCCTTAAATATTCAGCCACACATGGAGCAGACAACCCTTTGGAGGGAACTAGTTTATATATGCAGTTGCACGTTTGAGCCACCGGAGGGCGTAAACCTATTGCCTTAAATATTCAGCCACACATGGAGCAGACAACCCTTTGGAGGGAACTAGTTTATATATGCAGTTGCACGTTTGAGCCACCGGAGGGCGTAAACCTATTGCCTTAAATATTCAGCCACACATGGAGCAGACAACCCTTTGGAGGGAACTAGTTTATATATGCAGTTGCACGTTTGAGCCACCGGAGGGCGTAAACCTATTGCCTTAAATATTCAGCCACACATGGAGCAGACAACCCTTTGGAGGGAACTAGTTTATATATGCAGTTGCACGTTTGAGCCACCGGAGGGCGTAAACCTATTGCCTTAAATATTCAGCCACACATGGAGCAGACAACCCTTTGGAGGGAACTAGTTTATATATGCAGTTGCACGTTTGAGCCACCGGAGGGCGTAAACCTATTGCCTTAAATATTCAGCCACACATGGAGCAGACAACCCTTTGGAGGGAACTAGTTTATATATGCAGTTGCACGTTTGAGCCACCGGAGGGCGTAAACCTATTGCCTTAAATATTCAGCCACACATGGAGCAGACAACCCTTTGGAGGGAACTAGTTTATATATGCAGTTGCACGTTTGAGCCACCGGAGGGCGTAAACCTATTGCCTTAAATATTCAGCCACACATGGAGCAGACAACCCTTTGGAGGGAACTAGTTTATATATGCAGTTGCACGTTTGAGCCACCGGAGGGCGTAAACCTATTGCCTTAAATATTCAGCCACACATGGAGCAGACAACCCTTTGGAGGGAACTAGTTTATATATGCAGTTGCACGTTTGAGCCACCGGAGGGCGTAAACCTATTGCCTTAAATATTCAGCCACACATGGAGCAGACAACCCTTTGGAGGGAACTAGTTTATATATGCAGTTGCACGTTTGAGCCACCGGAGGGCGTAAACCTATTGCCTTAAATATTCAGCCACACATGGAGCAGACAACCCTTTGGAGGGAACTAGTTTATATATGCAGTTGCACGTTTGAGCCACCGGAGGGCGTAAACCTATTGCCTTAAATATTCAGCCACACATGGAGCAGACAACCCTTTGGAGGGAACTAGTTTATATATGCAGTTGCACGTTTGAGCCACCGGAGGGCGTAAACCTATTGCCTTAAATATTCAGCCACACATGGAGCAGACAACCCTTTGGAGGGAACTAGTTTATATATGCAGTTGCACGTTTGAGCCACCGGAGGGCGTAAACCTATTGCCTTAAATATTCAGCCACACATGGAGCAGACAACCCTTTGGAGGGAACTAGTTTATATATGCAGTTGCACGTTTGAGCCACCGGAGGGCGTAAACCTATTGCCTTAAATATTCAGCCACACATGGAGCAGACAACCCTTTGGAGGGAACTAGTTTATATATGCAGTTGCACGTTTGAGCCACCGGAGGGCGTAAACCTATTGCCTTAAATATTCAGCCACACATGGAGCAGACAACCCTTTGGAGGGAACTAGTTTATATATGCAGTTGCACGTTTGAGCCACCGGAGGGCGTAAACCTATTGCCTTAAATATTCAGCCACACATGGAGCAGACAACCCTTTGGAGGGAACTAGTTTATATATGCAGTTGCACGTTTGAGCCACCGGAGGGCGTAAACCTATTGCCTTAAATATTCAGCCACACATGGAGCAGACAACCCTTTGGAGGGAACTAGTTTATATATGCAGTTGCACGTTTGAGCCACCGGAGGGCGTAAACCTATTGCCTTAAATATTCAGCCACACATGGAGCAGACAACCCTTTGGAGGGAACTAGTTTATATATGCAGTTGCACGTTTGAGCCACCGGAGGGCGTAAACCTATTGCCTTAAATATTCAGCCACACATGGAGCAGACAACCCTTTGGAGGGAACTAGTTTATATATGCAGTTGCACGTTTGAGCCACCGGAGGGCGTAAACCTATTGCCTTAAATATTCAGCCACACATGGAGCAGACAACCCTTTGGAGGGAACTAGTTTATATATGCAGTTGCACGTTTGAGCCACCGGAGGGCGTAAACCTATTGCCTTAAATATTCAGCCACACATGGAGCAGACAACCCTTTGGAGGGAACTAGTTTATATATGCAGTTGCACGTTTGAGCCACCGGAGGGCGTAAACCTATTGCCTTAAATATTCAGCCACACATGGAGCAGACAACCCTTTGGAGGGAACTAGTTTATATATGCAGTTGCACGTTTGAGCCACCGGAGGGCGTAAACCTATTGCCTTAAATATTCAGCCACACATGGAGCAGACAACCCTTTGGAGGGAACTAGTTTATATATGCAGTTGCACGTTTGAGCCACCGGAGGGCGTAAACCTATTGCCTTAAATATTCAGCCACACATGGAGCAGACAACCCTTTGGAGGGAACTAGTTTATATATGCAGTTGCACGTTTGAGCCACCGGAGGGCGTAAACCTATTGCCTTAAATATTCAGCCACACATGGAGCAGACAACCCTTTGGAGGGAACTAGTTTATATATGCAGTTGCACGTTTGAGCCACCGGAGGGCGTAAACCTATTGCCTTAAATATTCAGCCACACATGGAGCAGACAACCCTTTGGAGGGAACTAGTTTATATATGCAGTTGCACGTTTGAGCCACCGGAGGGCGTAAACCTATTGCCTTAAATATTCAGCCACACATGGAGCAGACAACCCTTTGGAGGGAACTAGTTTATATATGCAGTTGCACGTTTGAGCCACCGGAGGGCGTAAACCTATTGCCTTAAATATTCAGCCACACATGGAGCAGACAACCCTTTGGAGGGAACTAGTTTATATATGCAGTTGCACGTTTGAGCCACCGGAGGGCGTAAACCTATTGCCTTAAATATTCAGCCACACATGGAGCAGACAACCCTTTGGAGGGAACTAGTTTATATA